TGAAATTAAAGAGGAAAGAAAGAAAGGGGAAAGAAAAGAGAAGAATGAAAGGGTGGAAGGAGGGAGTGAGTGAGGGAGAAGGAAGATCGTGGGGGAGGGGGGAGATGGGGGTGGGGGGAGGGGGTTAAGCCTGCACCTGGCGTTTAAGAGCAATGTTATTAAATCTATTTTTTACGATAACGGCGCCCCTAATATTTGGATGATTAAAACTGCGGCGTGTGGGAGGGAGGGAGGAAGGAAGGGAGAAAGTGGGAAGGAGGGAGGAAGGAGGGAGCGAGGGAGGAAGGGAAAGGGAGTGGAAGGGAGAGGGAGGGAGAGAGGGAGTAGGAGTGAGAGGAGGGGGAGTGGGAGGGGGAGGGAGAGTAGGATGAAGGGAATTTAGGAGGGGGGATGGGAGTAAGAAGGAGGGAGGGAGAAGGAGTGGGAATGAAGGAGAGAGGGAGTAGGAGGGGAGGGGGAACAGGAAGGAGGGAAGGAGGGAGTGGGAGCGAGAGCGGGGGCGAGTGTAAATAAATTGAAAGGCGCGCGAAGACACACACACACACACATACACACACACACACACATACACACATACACACACACATACACACATACATACATACACACACACACACACACACACACACTCACACAAGAAAAAACAAACAAACACACACTCACATAAACACACTCATAAAAACACATACACACACTGCAACGAGGCCAGAAACCCATGACGTCATATTGCAATAAAATGACTCAGTTTCAAACGCAGTAGAGAGGAGACTCAAATAACAACAAACTGGCAACGAACTGGAATCTTTACATAGCCAAATTTATTAAAGAAGTCATTTGAAGTTTATCCAGTAACTGCCTTAAATACCCTAACTGGCTTTACTCTACTTGCAATTGCCCTGAAACGACCTTATAATTGCCTTGAAATAAACATAGTTGCCCTAACTAGTTTTATTATAGTTATAATTGCCCTGAAACGACCATAATTCCACCTACCTTAAATACCCTAACTAGTTTTACTCTACTTGCAATTGCACAGTGACGAACTTATAATTTCCCTGAAATGACCATAGTTACAACTAACTACCTTAAATACCCTAACTAGCTTTGTTCTACTTATAATTGCCCTGTAACGACCTTACAATTGCCCTGAAACGACCATAGTTGCACCTAACTACCTTAAATACACTAACTGGCTTTACTCTACTTATAATTTCCCTGCAAACGACCATAGTTACACCTACCAACCTTAAATACCGTAACGAGCTTTACTCTACTTATAATTGCCCATAAACGACCTTATAATTGCCCTGAAACGACCATAGTTACAACTAACTACCTTAAATATACTTAAATAAACTGGCTTTACCCTACCTATAATTGCCCTGAAACGACCATATTTGCACCTAACTACCTTAAATACCTTAACTAGCTATACTCTACTTATAATTTCCCTGTAACGACCATATTTGTACCTAACTACCTTAAATACCCTATCGAGCTTTACTCTACTTATAATTTCCCTGCAAACGACCATAGTTGCACCTAACAATGCACCGCAATGATTAAGGGAAGGTGCGAAAGCCAGGTGGGGTTTAAGTGCCACTTCGAGATAAGGACGAGATCCTGGTGTTGATGAGTGATAGGGATAGGTGAGAGGGTGTGCACTATCGCGGTTTATTGTGCTTGTCCTTGAAGGATGAAGTGTATTGTAAATATGATGCGTTTAAAAAAAAAGGGATTTATGTCTTCCACAACCGCCAGTTTCTCTCTTCTCTTCTCTCTTCTCTCTCTCGCTCTCTCTGTTTCTTTCTCTTTCCATCATCCCTTCCATCTCTTTTCTCTTTTTTTTGTTTTTGTTTTTTTCCTTCTCTGGATCTGTTCTTCTCATCATTCTCCTTCATTTATTCTGATTCTTCCTCTCTCTTTTCTTTGTTCTGTCCTGCAGTGTCTCTCCTTCGCTTTCTTTTTTTTTCTTTCACACACACACACGCACACGCACACTCACACTCACACTCACACACACACGCGCGCGCGCGCCTGTGCCTGTATATAAAATGTGTGTGTGCAAGCGTATGTGTATATGAATTGACATACACATGTAAGAGTATATATCTATCTATATCCATCTTCCACACGCTCCCGCTGTATCTATCTATCTCTATCAATCTATATATCTATCTATCTCTTTCAATCAGTCTATCTATCTATATCTCTCCATCTAAATATAACTATATGTATAGGCATATGAAATTATGAATTCCGACATGCCACAGCATACTAACAGAGGCATCCCCTCCCTTCTCCCTTCTCCCCCCCCCCCCCAGGGTTTGGCTCACAACGGCCTCTGCGGTTTCCTGTTGATGATCGCCAGCTGCGTCATGGTTGAGCTGGCATCCGCTGCGAGGGCGCTGAGGGCAGCTGGGGTCAGTTGAGGTCATTTGTTCTGTTCTTTGAGCGCTTAATGAACTCTTGTCTCTTATTCTGTCTCATTGCATGTTTATTCTATGGGTTATTTTATTATTATTATTATTATTTTTTTACGGGCATGCGGGTATACATGCAGTAAAGAGAGAGAGATAGAATTGTCTTTCTATTTCGTGAGATTATCTTGAAATAATCTGTTAGTTAAACTACTTAACCTTAAGACAGTGTTTGTGTTTCGTCATGGTTGAGCTGGCATCCGCTGCGAGGGCGCTGAGGGCAGCTGGGGTCAGTTGAGGTCATTTGTTCTGTTCTTTGAGCGCTTAATGAACTCTTGTCTCTTATTCTGTCTCATTGCATGTTTATTCTATGGGTTATTTTATTATTATTATTATTTTTTTACGGGCATGCGGGGTATACATGCAGTGAAGAGAGAGAGATAAAATTGTCTTTCTATTTCGTGAGATTATCTTGAAATAATCTGTTAGTTAAATTACTTAACCTTAAGACAGTGTTTTGTTTATTTGCTTTTTTTTTGTTCTATGCCTATTGTACTCTGGTTTATAGCTTGCAATTAATTAAATATATTAGTTAAAGTACTATTTTTATTCATGCGAAATTGTCAGGTCTCAGAGACTTTAATTAATCGTAGTGGATAAGTACGTATCTTCATTTTTATTGGAGAATCTAATTATGCGGAAGAGGAAAAAATATTTTATCTAAAAAAGCAAAAAGTTAATTTATTTATATCATGCCCTTTTATCATTATCATTTTATTGTCATTTGTATTATCATAATTTTACTATCGTTTTTTTTGTTTTTGTTTTTTTTATGAGGCGCGTCCTTACCGGCCCTCACTCACCCCACGACTCCGAAGATAATTTCTATATCTACTTCACGATTTCCAACTTTCATCCTCTGTCTTTCTTTTTTTTCCCCCCACAGGTTTTCGGTTTTCTTGGCTTTACTGGCTTCCTTGCTGGCTTGGTGTGGGAGGTGATGGTCTGGCTCAAGAACAGGGACTCGGGGCCAGGCTTCGCAACAGCTACAGTCGTCTCCGGAATGGACAGACGTTAGTTTTTTTAAGTGTCTTGGGGGTTTTGAGGGTGATCTGTACGCAAATTGGGGGTGGGGTGGGGGTGGGGGGTGGGGGTGGGAGGTGCGTAAAGTTGCGGACGTATGGAGTAGCGACACCGTTGATCCAGTAAGGGTTTTGGAAGTTTATGTTACTTGAAAGGTTGGAGCTTTGATGGTCAAGTCGCAAGAGTGAATCAGTCCTTATTGATTATACTTGGTGTGTGCAGTTCTTGCTCTGATATTCCTTCCACGTACACGCACTCACGCACACACACACACACACACACACACACACACACACACACACACACACACACACACACACACACACACACACACACACACACACACACACACACGCCATCGATAACTGCGCACAGCAACAATAATTAAAGGAGTTGTTTCTCTATTGCAAATCAAACCAAAGAGATTTCAAAACTTCCTAGTGCTTCCAGACGTAAAAGATATTGCCAAATGTCGCAAGTTCATATAAGCAGCTGCATGAAATAAGGAGGTTCTGTTCGTTAGTAAAATGACTTACTTGTCCCATCTCTGGATCTCTGAACAGAATCTCGGCCAAGTTTGTGGTCGGTCTGTTTTATTATTATTATCATCATCATCATCATCATCATCATCATCATCATCATCATCATCATCATCATCATCATCATCATCATCATCATCATCTTCATCATCATCATCATTATCATTATTATTATTATTATCATTACTATTTTCTCTTCTTTGGGGGGATGTTCCTCTCAAGTTCCAGCAGCACTTGGAAATAGTAACGAGAAACTGAGTGGTTGATCTCAGCTGTTTTCTAGGAAATTAGAATGCTTAATCCTTCTTACAGACTTTAAGAAAATCGATGGAAGGAGAAACGAGTTTCGAGCTTGTCTGCGTGTGTTTCCTTTCATCAATATCATTGCCTTCACTTCCAGAATAATACCAATGTATTTTTTTCTGCTGTACAGTTGTTCCTCTCAGTCTTAGGATAAAGTGGATGCAGTAGACTCAATAAATTATTAATTAACTTCTGAACTTTAACAACTTCCTTAATTTAACGAGTAATTAAAGTGCGTTATGAAATACTTATTGCTGTTAGGAATTTTTTCTGTTTCTGTAGAACACCTGTTGACTTGGAAGCACAAACAATGCTAAATTTGCTGCTGGGAAATATGCATCGTATCTAAAAGAAGAAAGGAAAAGAGGAGGAGGAAGAAGAAGAAGAAGAAGAGGAAGAAGAAGAAGAAGAAGAAGAAGAAGAAGAAGAAGAAGAAGAAGAAGAAGAAGAAGAAGAAGAAGAAGAAGAAGAAGGAGAAGAAGAAAAAGAAGAAGAAGAAGAAGAAGAAGCAGAAGAAGAGGACAAGGACGAGGAAGAAGTGGAAAAGAATCCACAGCACGAACCCTTTCCTCCCCCAATTCACCAAAGAACGTTTCCATTGTGCAGGAATGCTTGAAATTACACACACAATCGCGCGGCCGCAGTTGTACATCCG